TGATGATGATGATGATGATGATGATGATGATGATGATGATGATGATGGTGCTTGGAAAGGCCTTTCTCAAGTTGTGATAATCCTTTACAGACTGTTACTGGTAATGGGCTGGGGCTACACTCACATATGGGTTGTATAATAGCCATTTGTTGTGGTCTTTATGGTGTTCGGACATCGCCCTCTTCAGTTCGACGATGGCGCCCCTGCTCCTGAAGCCATCTTTGCCGAAGCTGTCCAAGGCGCAGTGGTGCTGAGCAGCGGAGTGTCCGGGTCGATCTACCCGTGTGGGGAGACAAAGTCAAACGAGCTGTCTCCAGGCAGACCGGCTGAGTTCTCTGCAGCCTACAAACAGCTGTGCTGTACTAAGCGCAGGGTAGACTGTGTCTCTATGTCTTTGAAGAAGGCCTCGGGCAGCAAGCCCTGAAGCTAAGTTTATAGTTTATACATTCCCGAAGAAGCTCCAAACAAAGTCGTGTAATAAGGAAAGACCCGACCTCTTGAACATCCCAAAACGACCCCACATAACCCCACAGACCTCCATTGCATCCTCACTGTCCAACCTATCCAAGGCCTTCGCAACCTTACATGCCGCATATGCCCGGATGCCCACCCGGATCACATGCTTGTACTAAACGACAACTTGATTTGATTATAGTTTGGTTAATTATATTGAATATATGTATATAATGTGTTAGTGACATTTAGTGACCTATCTTTTTACACTGACGAGGCATCGAGGAATCATCAAGATCTACGATCAATACCTGCATCTGCATGTCTTCACAAAGCCCAACCACCTAACCGCAGCGGCAGCCAGCCAAACAAAAATCAATCAGTCAGTCAGTCAGTCTGCTAGTATACAGTCTGCTCTAGGTAAACGTGCGTCAACGTGCCGGCCGCTTTGTCCTCGCTTTCCCGGGCCCAAAAAAGATATATCCAAAACCAAGAAGCCGCCCCCGCCGGCGGAGGCCTTTGGCCGCCAAAACCGCCAGCCCAACCACCCACCCATAAATCTCTCCCCCGGTATCGGCCTGGGTCAAGAAGTCTCTCAAGTCCACTTCATTCTCCAGCTTCACGCCTCGGTCGAGTCCGACCGTCCGAGTCGGTCCGGCCAGGTTCGGTGGGTTCGGTGGGTGGCGGTTTTTTTGGAGACGGGTCGAGGCAGCTTGGAGGATCCGGTGGGAAAAACCCATGCAGAAACCCCAGCTGGCAAGGAGTTCATGAATGGAACCGGCCCATGAGATGTAAAACCATTCGGGTTGGGGATGGTTTATCTACATTACTAGGATGGCACCATATGATACCTACCACAGAGCAATCCTGCACTTTGGCCCCAATTGAACTCGGAAAAACCAGGCAAGCTTTGCGCAAATCGCCCTGATGTGCATATGGCATGCTCTCTGTGTTCTGGCCAATGTCCATGTACACCTATATAGAGGTGAAAAGCCCGGAAGCCTGGCTTCCACTACGAAGGTGCTCTAGGTTGATTACCCTGATTACCCATCAAAGTAGGGCTGTCTGTGTATGATAGCAGTTCTGACACACCAGTACCCCAGGCTCCGGCCTGTACCACGGGGCTTGCTGAGTTCAAGTTGTTTCAGTGTGGAAACACACATAATTAATTAAAACAGATGTCACAGTCTACGAGTGCCAGCCAACCAACCAAACCAACCAAGCATCATCCAACCACTGGCTGCAGTACATGTTAGTCAAGGCATGACCAAACCAACTAAGTATGACCATACCAATCCGCAGTCCAAACACTCTCCAACATGCCCTTCGCCACGGTGTTCGTTACGGTGTGTCGTTGCGCTGAGCCACGGTGTAGAAGCTTCATCCTGCGGTTCTCCTGCACCGCGCCGAGCAGATTCGGTCGTTGGCCCGGGTCTATCCTATTACCTGTAACAGTGGATGATGATGGTTAGGTTGCAGGCCTTGTTACAGGTACTGACTGTTACAGGCAAGTTCGGACAGACCCTAGCTATCCTACAATGCGCCTCACGCTGGGGTCAGGACCCACTTGCCGCGCCTCCGAAATGCTCCAAAGTTGCAATTGCAGTGCCTCACGAACACACGACGGAGACCAACTTCCAATGGCCCTCTACTTGACTCCAGCAGTGCATGAAATAGGGCCGCTGATGGGTTTGTGCAACGTCCACATTGAGTATAAAAGACTAGAATCCGCTTCGAAGGTTTGAACATTCATGCACATTTGATATAGTTGGAAAGGTTGCCGACACCTCTATAGAGATCATCAAATGTGGTGTTTTCTTGAGCGACAGCCCTAGTAAAAAATGACTGTCAACACATTTCAGCGATCCTTGAACAAATGGTCCATGTCAGCATCTTGGAAGTGACCCCTACAAGTACACACAAGTACTGTAAGTGCTGCTATCCTTCTGCAAGGCCTTGATATCCTTCTGCAAGGCCACTTTCTGTTCCTCCACCTGGCAGAACGATCCACTGAGCGACTTAGGTGACCATCACCAGCTGTCCCTTGCATCGATGGTGTTCTTGAGGCATATTTGTTGAGTCATGTCACAGGGGTACTCCCGAACTCCCGATTACCGGTGCACCAAGAAGGGAAAACTGCCTATTTGACTGTGGCGGAAGGTACCCTGATGCTCCTACCAAAACCAAAGCTGCTTAAAAGCAAGGCCTGATTACTGGTGCACTCGATTGAACCTGCTACACTCACCCTCAACATGAACATGAAAATGGATGAAAATGGCTGAGTGGACTAGTAGAGTCATTCTTCTGCCCCTCAGTTATCCTCAGTTGTCGGGATTGAAAAACATTGTTTAAGAAATAGGAGATCCAAAAGCTGCAGAAGCTCCAGTTTGCGATTCAGACTTCGCCATATTACTTCTCCATGCTGTATGGACTTCTGGCCCACTGCCAAGACCAAACATTGATGCTCGAATCAATTGACACATTATAGAATACACGTGTCTCTAAGAGTCTGTGGCCGAAAAGAAAAGCATGTTCGAACTCCACCTTGGTGGCTGAATAGAAGGGTCAACCTGAACTCGTTCCACGAACCGCAACAATGTCACTAGAACCCATCTAAAACCAATCGCCCAAAGAATCTGTATAAGTTTGGTAGGAGAACCACTGAGGTGTGGGATGTCCATCTTAGCTTCACAATGCTTTGC